TTCGGTTGGAGGCCATTCCTGTTCGGTTGGAGGCCATTCCTATTCGGTTAAAATATTCTCCAAATCCACGCAAGCTTCAGGCAAGTCTCACGGTCCCGAAGCAGAGGCTGCGCAGGTCGGGAGGGGTTCGGCTGTGAGGCGTCCTGGAAACTTTTCGAGGAGGGGCGTCCTTGACGAACCCCGCATATGATTCACTTCGTTCCTACATTTGCAAGGAAGTTCCTACATTTTGAAGGAAACTTAGTGTTTTGTTTTGGCCTCACAAAAGGATTTCAGTTTTGCACAGGCCCGAGACATACAAAAGCTCTTTCGAGAGGGACGAGTCTGGAGCCGAGAACGGGTGTGGTTGTTTGCTGGCCGGGTACTTTTGGGCCTCAGTCCACACCGCAACGGGCAGACGGTCTGACGAACACACAGCATTTGTATGCATTTGTATAAAGCACCTGAAACGAACTGAAACGCCGTTTTTGCACTTTTTTGGCTACTTGTGCATTAGCTAGCGATGCGCTAGTGATTCGATTGATTTAACTGCATCCAAGGCCGAGGATGCGTTTCAGCTTGCCTTGCAGAAGCAGGGGGGAAGCAAGATACCAGGACTTCTTAGAGTCCTGCCGGCAATGTTCGGCTCGTTGGAACACATGTGGACAACAACAACAGCAGCAGCAACAACAACAACAGCAACCACAGCATCCTGTGATCAGCTGTCCAAATAGTGCCAGGCCTCTATGCTCTTTGGTACAGCCTGATCAGTGGCTCATGGAGGACAGCTGTGCTTTGGAAGTAGCAATTTCGCCATTCGGTGCAGAACATCGTTGCAAGATTAGCCACAGCATAACACTTCATTTAACTTGAAGTAAGTCACAAGCAGCACTTTGGGTGGTTCAGAGTTGTCTTGGGAGGAAACTTGTTCCAGCCAACATCTTTCTGAATCGTGTAAAACTCAAAACAATATTTTTTCAAAGTCAAATGAGAGCGATGTGCCCTGTTGTCAGAGGCATAGCGCGGAAGATGTCCTGCGAAAACGATAAGAAAACCACCGCACGCAATTTGGAAGACCCGTGCGCACATGACATGAGCGCGGGACACCAGTTGACATGCCCATCCACAGGAAGTGACATTCCTCCATGTTGTGTTGTTTGGAACCCCCAGCAACAATACAGCATTTGACCAGGATCCGACAGGAATGGCCCTCAGTCCTCAGGCCAGAGCTGCGAAACGGTGCTTTTACAAAACACCTGTTCCTTCGAGTCCAGGTTAAGATAAAGCTGATGCAGACCCTTGCACAACAGTGTGCAAATTGCGAAGAGACCGTTCTTCTGAGCAAGGCCTGACTCCTAAAAATCTAGGAACCAAATCATTAGTGCGTGAGCTATCCTGCGTACAGTAGTTAGTAGCGACCTAGCTACTACTAGATACCTCTAGCTACTACTAGCTACCTCCTAGCGGCCTACCAAAAAAGGTTTCTGAATGGATCCTTCATGCGGCGACAGGTTGAGTGGATCCAAGAGCTTTGGTTGGCTCTAGATCTTGGCGAACCGGTCGAGAGCACAGTTGTGCATCTGTCAGAATGTCTCATTGTCTATATGCTTAGAAAGGGCGCATCCTGAAGGACCCTCTGAAAAGCACAAGTTGTAAAGAACGATTCAAACACCATTCCAAATCCAAGCCGAGCACTGTCTTCAATAGTGCTGGCTGTCTTGCGAACTGTAGGCCGTGGAGAAGCAAGGGAAAAGGCTCGTGACAGAGCTGATCGAGGCAGGCTTCAAGCACAAGAAACGGTGAGCGAAAAGAAGGTTGTCCCAAATGCGAAGCTTGTGCATATCAATCAGAAATTCACTTGCAGCTTCTATCATCTGAAGACCTGTGAGCTTTCACTCTTTCAGCAAACGGCTTTGTTGCTTTTGTATGCTTTTATGTGTTTCCCAACTCATACTTGATGCTTTGTTCTCACTTGACCGCCCAAGAGTGTGAGGATCAAGGTTGCACTAAAGAGGCTGCTGCAGGTGTATGGAAGAGGTTGTGTTCCGCAGGTCATTCTTGCCTTCCCAGAATCCTGACTAGTCAGTCATTGCCATGGTCGTTGTGGGTGTTGTTGCTGTTGTAATTAACTGCAAGTAAGGTTGTAAATGGTGTGATGATATGAAGTACAGCCCTTTTGGCCCTCTCCCTGGGTCATAGCAGAGCAGTTTCCACCCCGGACCAAGCTTGTCATGTTAAGCATTGGTCTTACAATAACTCACAGTGGAAACTCCGCCGGAATTTCGTTGGGAACGACCGCGTGGATTTGCTAAATAGTAGCGTCTTTGCTCCTAGTAGCGATGCCAGGAGCCCCTAGTAGCGTCCTTGCTCCTAGTAGTATGGCCAGGAGCCCCTAGTAGCCTCCCTGCTCCTAGTAATATGAAAGTCAGGCTTGATATGGCTTTATACATAAACTTTCTGGCTGTTGCCTTTACCGTGGTTTTGATACTGGTGGGCCACTGGCAGGGATTTGGCAGGTTAGGCTAGGCAACAAGTTAGCTGTCATGGCTTGGTGGGTCGGGAAGGGCCTGGGGGCCATTGCTATTAGGTTGGAGGCCGTTTCAGGATTATTTTGGCAATGAATGTGAAACCAAATGTCCTATATCCGAAAGCGCATTGCTGGTCACCCCTTGTGCATCAGAATAGGCCAGAACAAAGAGAAGGATATGCCGTAAGCTAGATTGTGGTCCTGGTGCACGGATTTGAAGATGCACTGATCAAATTGTTGTGGCCTCGTTCTTTACTGCCTACTTCTGAGAGTCATAAACGCGAGAGGAAGAAACAGGAAAAAGGTGATCCACAGGACAAATAAAGCAGAACAGAGTAGAGAAAAATTAATGCGGAAAGAACTGTCCGACAGTTGCTTGACAGGCAAACCTCCCTTTCTTGTGGGACAGGCCACTTCTTCCAGGCTGTAGCCTCCTGTCTACCCTGGGAATCAGCTGTGGCATATTTCTAGTTTTGATTCGTATTTTGTTTTTCTTTTAACTTGTGTCCATAGACTTAAAATCCTTTGGCCTGTCTGTTACTTTCTATGCTTTGGGTTAAATTCCTACTCCCACTTTGCAGTAGCTTGGATTCCTTGTTGATTGTAGGTTTACATACTGTGCATACAAAACTATTTTCATATACGTTTTCTTCTATGTTTTGCCATACTTTCGAGTAGGGATCAACTTGAATTGTCTGTTGTTTGGATTATATACAACAATATATTCTGCTTTTTCCTTGTATTACACTCTCTTTTTCCTGACCCTACAAGTTATCCTCATTTGGCCGTCTTCCCGGTCTTGTACGCTGCTTGTTAACGCCTGCCAGAGATCACACACACATTAATTGCATGTTGGCTCAACCCACGCCTAAGCTCAGAAAGTGCACTGTAAGGGTTCTATTGCAAGGTATTGGGTGTGTTTGGGACATGTAGATTATCACACATGTTTTGCTGGTTTGCCTTGAGCAAGGGAGCGTAAGGTCAAGGAATGAAGGCATCTTGCCTTCCCCACTGTGATAGGGCGGTTAATTTGTGGTTGGTGTGAGAGAGAGGGAGATGGGAAGCCAAAAGAGCAGGTTTACCAACAGGTGGGATGCCGTGCAGGCCATTGGTGCTAAAGCGTCCTGGCGCATGCCAGAGAAAGATGGTCTTGGTGTATCTTGGTGTAAGTAAGAGATTCTTGGTTAAGGCAGTTAACGCAGGATGCCTCGAGCGTACAAAAATCATCGGTTGCAGCAGCCTTCTGATGGAATGAGTGCTGATGCAAAAGGGTTTGAATTTCTCAAATCCGAGAAAAGCTAGGCCCGGCTGCAAGTGGTAAACATGTGCATTGCGGACACAAGCAAGGACTGCAACATCCCAATGTTCACTGCAGCCTTAGGAAGTTTAGGACTTCATTACAGCCGTGGGCAAAGAACGATTTGCCTTGATGCGTGATAGCCTGATTTTTTTTTGTCTTCAACAGAAGGATTGTGCCCATCAGCACAGTGTCCAGTGGCATGTTTCAGGGAGCTCACTACCACTGTGCGGCAGTGAAGAGTTCAAAGCAGCGCTTTGTGTTTGGCGTGCTGTGAACGCCCTCTTTAGTTGGAAAAAGCAAAGGTTCAACTTGTGCTCAGTGTGGGTGAGGGCTTGCTATATATGCTTCCTACAAAACTTACGGAGGGGGAGAGAGAGAGAGAGAGAGAGCGAGGGAGGGAGGGAGGGAGGGAGGGAGAGGGAGAAGTGGTCATACAATACGTGCCCCATCAACAGCCAAACGCTGCTGGGCTCTCTCTAAGAACAAGGTGAAAAGCAAGTGCGCGGTGAAATGCAAAATTTAGTGGCTACAGCATCCGCAGCATTTGAGGTGCTGTGAAAGAGTTCTGGCTCTTTTAAATCAGTGTTTTCCATTTGCATGGGTTAGCAGACTGACCATGTTCAAAACAAGATGTACATGGCAATAAATGTGCATGAGGTTATGCTATAGAAGTCCAAAAGCTGGGCCAACGAGTAGCATGAGTAGCATGTCCCTAGTGTGGGAAGGACAACGTGTAGCACTTGCAAGATGAAGAAGTTCTGAAGAAGTGTCATTCTATCATTCCCTGTCCAACTTTTGTCCTAGCAGGCCCTTAATCGCGTGCAGGGTCATGCTGGAGAGCAGGCACTGTGGGATGGCGGATTGGCATGATTTTCTGCATAATTTCAGTGGAAGAGAGTGGAAGAACGCCCGGTGCTCATTTGTTGCGTCTCGCATCTCGGAAGCGTCAAGGTGCAGGTCCGCAAGCTCAAAAGAACTCTGACTCAGGCGGAAAGGGGCGAACGGCGAACGCGTGGCGAATGACGAGAGAGGTCAGAGCAACATGGTGTGGTATCAACTCGGCCGCTCTCAACATGCGTTTCAGCGTGTTTCGACATGTATTTTTGAACATGTCTGATATAGAACGAGATGGGTCCGACCAAGAGAATGGGATCTCCTTTCATGTAAGAGACTTTGCAAATTCATGTCACGAGATGGGGGGCTATTTGTTTCCTCGTAAGCTCATTTCAATTTGTGGCATCTTGCGAGATGTTCCCCGCATTTCGGCCCCAAAATTTGTCGAACAAATGCTAAAGGACACGGCAATGATACAGGGTCAGTGGAGTGAGTATTGATTGGGAATCTGCAGGCTGAGCTCAGTGTCCTTTGCTTGCCTTCTCCCTTAACTCGTTGAAGTGGAGAGGCGTTGCCGCAAGCTTTTCCCTCATTCCTACTGTTGCGTTTCTACACTTCAAAAAGCATACATTTCTTAGATGTTTTCAAGTGTTGGTGCTCAACCTTGATGAGGTGGTGAGTTTGTAAGTGTGGTGAAGTGGTAGGACGTTTCTCGCCCTGGTGGTATGCTTGTGATGCAGTGGAAGGCTCTCACCGTCGGACCTTGACTTCCTCCTGCCCTCTACCTCTCCTATCCCCTTTAAAAGAACACAAGAACACCTCTACAGTGCTGTGACTTCCTGTCCCCTCCAGTGACCGTAAAAGACTGTCGGAGTTTGATGGCATCTGCTGCTTGGTTTCCTAGGCGGTGCGGATGATGACGCGTGAGTGATGTGCATAGTTAGCTTCCCTTCTCCAACCGAGAAGTGGGTTTAGAATGGACAGCCCATTTGCTCACGTATCCAGCTGGAGCTGCGGAACACTGCTAGAATCATAGTATGGTTGCTTGAGCCAGAACGGACTGTTGTTGTTGGCCCTTCTGAGCAAACGGTCACGAGCAAAGCTTAAGGTACTGTTGGACCAAATGTGCTTTCACGGTTGAAGTGGTAGCTCTGAAGAACCCGCTCCCGGGCTTGCATCGGCGCAGCCACTGCTGGAGGGCAAAAAGGTGCACTGCAAGCGCTGCCTAGTTGTGAGTCTAAGGAGTGGCCTGATTACTTCTTTGCGTGTGAGTGTTTGTTCTTTTTCTTCGAGTACAATCTTTGCGCATTTGGCCCGAAGTAGAACTCATTGCCAATCCAAGTTCGTGACACGAGTCAAGTCGACGCCCGTTGAAGTGGGGTCTGATGATATCGAAGACATCAAGGTGGGCAAGTTCATGTATTTCATGGGTGATAGCGGCGTGGAGCGGAACTGCTTGGGAGAAGTGCTTGAAATGGACGGCGCATCGCGTCAAGTGAAATTTGGTGAGGTGACCCTCACAGTTCCAGCCAGCGACCTAGACGTATGCAACTTGCAGAAGGGCGCCTATGTTGTGCCTTCTGATGATGTTGTTAACCCGGACCAAGGTGCTTGAACTTCATTGATGTTGAGCCAAGTGGTAAGGATTGCCTTGCTGTGGAATTCGGGGAGCAGGCCATGAGTGTTTCTCCACAAGACTTGATAAAGCGTGAGATCCAGAAAGGCACTTGTATCTATTGGAGGAAGTCTGACGCGGACTTGCCACTGAAGCACATGGGGGTGGTCCTGAAGTGAAGGTGCAGTTCCCGAGCGGAACGCGGCGCTTCAAAGCAGGATCTCCTGACAGCTCCGATTCAACCAGACCACTGTGTATGGTGGATCAAGTCAGATGATGATGTCCCCGACTGGCCGTTACCAGATGGCTTTCCCAAAGGCTCCTGGAGTTTTAAGCGAGGACTTGGTGTCGCCAGAGATTCAAGTGGGTTGCTGGGTGACCTGGACCAAATCCGGTGACGACATTCCACCAGGCATGGTGGGCAAGGTGACGAGTGTCAAGCCGGAAAGTGGCAGGGTCAAAGTACGGTTCCCCGCAGGCACCTGGGCCTTTGAAGTGGAGACAGTTCCAGGTTCAGCCAAGAGATTGGGTCACCATCAATGAAAAGGACGGAGTTGCTGGTGGCTTTGGGCAAGAACATCGTTGATGTGAAGCGGACGCAGGGACTTGGACAACATGACGCCAATGATCTCCAGAAAATCAAGATCCAACAATATGATCGAGTTCAGCTTGTCCCTGCTGTGACGCCGTCAATGATGGAGAGATCGGTGTTGTGTTGGACTTGGTTTTCGCTTTGGACAAGGAGTGGCGCACAGATTTGCAAGTGGACTTTGAAAAAGCCGGGCTCAATGTGGCACTCCACTCGCTCAAGAAGGGCATCGACTTGGACAGCCTGAACATGATGAAGGCCAAGTTCAAAGCCGATGATCACAATGGTGATGGAAAACTCTTGAAGGATAGATAGTTTTTGGCACTTTTGACCCAACTAGGCTTGCAGAAGTCCAGATGAGTTCTTTCAGTATGCCTTCGGCTCGGGAGGGGAAAAGGAAGCGGTCCTGAGTGCCTCTGGAGCAGCAGGAAATTGTGAAGCAGCTACAGGGCTGCATGGTGAGCGTCAGGGTGGAGTACGCACCCAAATGGGCGCCTCCGGAACCATGGTCACCATGTCTGGGTGATAACCCAAAAGCGTGATCCAGGTCTTGAATCGCAGTATCTGGGTTTGTTTGCGGCTGAGCTCAAGACGCAGGACAAAGTTTAAAAAGAAGGAATCAGGCCACACGGTAAGCAGCAGACCACCAGTGGGCGTGGGTGGGAAATGCATGTAGGAACGCCAGAGAAGGCCAGTAAGTAAAAGGATTCCTGGGAGCACAACACTGCGTTGCGTTGACACCGTGTCGCATTTCTATTGCTTGTGTACACCGTCCATGCGGTCAGTCATAGTAATGACCTCGATCGTCGTCCGCCCTGCTGACAATGTCATTCCAGCACCCCAGGCGTCAACAACTTAGCAGCGAAAAGCGCTGCTGTGATGGCCTCCAACCTAATAGCGGTGGCCTGGATGCATTTGGTATTCTTTGTTGCCGCACAGGTGCCGTCTTGGTCCGTCTTGGCCATGATGGCTTCTCTGTCAATTGGCGGGCTCAAGTCCGAGGAGCATGTAGTGAAGACTTTGTGCCACTCCAAACCATCTATTGCTGCTGATGCCTGCACTTCTGTACTACAGTAGAAAGGCTGGGCAAATTTGTTTCTTTGAGCGCCAGGCCATGGTAGACAACGCCATTGGACGGCCTCGCAACCCCCCCCACCACTGTGGTGACCCATGCGACTCAGACGCCCATCTCTAATGAAGAGATTGGTTCACGAGCTTTGATGCGAAGTCGGAAATTTCAAGCCACTTGTTTGGGGTATCTGAATTGTTATTGCTTCATTCACGCATAGTGGGCTCAGCTGCTGCGGCCAAGAGCGGTGACCAAGGCACTCAACAGGGAAAAGGGATGCGACAGAATGTCCACCTCACTAATTTGGCGAAATTTGTGTGTGCGTTCCAACTCCCTAAGAGGAGTGGATGGAAAGTGCTGTGCACCAGTCGCAGCAAAGTGCTGCGCAATGCCCAACTAATCCAAATCGTGCAGCGTGAGCCTTCTTTGCAATTTCTGTCGCTCCGAGAACGCAATCTGAAGACCATGTTCGTTGTAGTAAACCACCGGTCAAGAACCGCTGGCTTTGATCATGGGCTAGAACTGCTGCAGAGTTTCCTCTCCACAATCAATGTCCTGCGTGTCCACTGGGACAGGAGACAAGTCCAGCGCACGTCCTGGGCCATCATTTGCATTTTTTTACAGACATCTCGGGCCCCAACATCCGCGCCTCCGGCAATCCAGCGCAATTCTTCAAGGCCATCCAACCTTCTGCAGCAGCTAGACCTTCACACTAGCTCACTGTTCACAGAGGTCGCAAATTGGAAAAGTTGTGGCGCCCAGATCGTTTCAGCGTTTGAAAGGGCAACGACCTCATGGAAAAAAGAACTTCTCCCATCAAGTCGTGGGGTTCTTTTCTCAGAGTCGCTGAGCAGCAGCCTTGGCCAGCGCTTTCAATGTCAAATGTTTACACGCGTCCCATGCCTTGCCATCCAACAATGTAAACCAATGCCCGACGCTGTTCTGCTTTGACCTCCCTAAAGTTAAAAAATCAGCAGTTACGCTTGCGCCCAAGTTCTCCACTTGCGCTCGCCCTCGCCAATTTGGCAATGTGGTCTGATCTCAGAAGAGGTCCTGTCCAATCTCCACAACAAGAAGCTCCTTACAAGACAAGTGTTCGCACATGCTGCTCAGCCTTTGATGGCTGTGGCACCTTGTTGATCCTATAACGCAATGTGTTGGCCAATATGAGCCTACTTTGTTTGTGTTTGTGCTTGCGCTTGTGTTTTATTGTTGCGGTGGACCACTTGGGAGTTCCATGATGCCCGGATTTGGCTCAAGAAACCTGTGCCGCTGGAAACGAAGTGGCGACGTTGAATGGGAAGCAAACACTGAACTAGCACATGGGCCAAAGTCGCAGCCTGAGAAGCAAGAGAAAGGACATCAAGTGGCCTTTGGACACACATGCCCTTGTTGACTTGGTGCTTAAGGTATCGACGTCCTTGGAACTTGCGATGGTGCCAAAGGAACAGATGCTTTGGCCTTAGAAGTTTCTTGTCCATCAGCATACCTCCTCTTTGGTCAGCACATCGGCCGGATCGAAGCTGCAAGGAGGCATTCTATTTAAAGTGCTATTTGTACTATTTGTGCCAATGCGTAATGCCCATCAAGAATAGGAACACGAATCCCATGGAAGGGTTTTTTTCGAAGCGAACGTTGCCTGACCCAAGGAGCCTCCAAAAGGCAATGAGCCTCGTCAAGCAGGTGTGGTTCTATGATTTTCTACATCAAATACTTAATTTGCCACAAACACGTTGCATGCTTGGTGCACTCATACGGATACAGTACACAGTTCTACCACACACACTCCGAGCCCTTTCAATCACGTTTGTGCACTTCTTGAATTTCGTTTTGTAGAAGAGGCCTTTTGATCGACCTGAGAAGCAGAGCAAAAAGATTAACACTTGTTGAGGCCTCCTTGCCAACAGCGCCCATTTCAAACACAAGGGTTGTTTATGAAATCTGGTTTACAGATCCGCGGTCTCATGGTCATTGGATGTTCACAGATTGCGCGTACATTAGAAGGTCTCAATTGAATTTACCAATGAACTGACCTTGCAAAGTCGCAGGATTTTCTTGCGTTCAGCGCGCTGTTTAGTCTAGCAAAGGTTGATTCCGCTCATAAGAGTGGTTTCTCCGGTGGCTGAAAAGAGGAGTGAGTACCCGAGTATCCAAATGTTCATGACAAAACTCGCAGAGAAGACCATGATGCTATGAGCAAAGACATGCATCACCGTGGCCAGAGCCAAACCCACCAGATCTCACCACACCACTACGGTGATACAGCTCCCAAACATTCTCCAGCATTCTCAAGGATCTTCCTAGTCCTAGACAGCCATTGAGGTTTTACTGGTCCCAGTTTTCTGCACATTGTCCAGATTGCTGTCAGCTGTGCATCAGACGTGCTATCAGCATTCATATTTCTGCTATATGGTGTGTTGATCACTAATCAGGTTCTGGAACGATTTGGGAAGAAGATGTGGTGGTAGTGTGTTCTGCCTTGGAGGACGCTGTGAGACAGTGGTGTGATGTGTGTGCATGAAAGCTGTTGATGCTCTTCACAAGCATGGGGAGATCTATCAGGAAAGTGTGACGAGTGTCGTGGCCTCCGCAAATCGTGGCGGTGCACGGATCAGTGATGAGGCGTTTGGAGATTTGTCAGTGGTTTAGACTCGGTTTAGACTGTTGGCTCTCAGATTTTGTTCGGAGGTATTGCTCAACCACGAGCTTTTACAGTATTCTCGCCAGGCTGGGTTGATTGTGCTACTGTAGCTCCTCTTTTCGCCGGTGGGATAAATGGCTTGTGCCAGGGTAATCTACGTGGCGTCAGTGAAGCCTTGGAGAAGGGTGCATGGACAGAAACAAGACGACCTTTGGCTCCTTGGAAGATCTTGGAACAAGAGGCAATTTGCAGGTGCTGTTTTGCTCGTGCATGTCTGGAGCTGGTCTGCTTTTGCTTCTGGAGCTAGGTGAGATGTCAGTAGCACATGCAGTCATGTGGCGAAAGGCTTGTGCCACGATGGCGCATGATTCGCTGCAGCTTGAGGTCATGAAGCCTCAAAAGCCAGAGCCAGGCAAAAAGAGTGCCAACCACGGACTGGTTGTGTTGACTACATTGATTATATTCAAGTGTCGTCTGTTCCTCACGGCTCACTTGTGCTCTCCCAAGGCTCCCAAGATGACCCTGCCAATGTTGGCATGACCCCAATCATGTGTGAAGCTGAGCAAGAGCAAGTGCACCAAGATCCAGTGTTGGCTTGGTGTGTTGGTTCAAGTCGTGCAATGCGTGAGCAGAGGTTTTCTGCGCAGAAGGGCAAGCACCTTAGTGTGATAGCTCATGAAGCACCGAAGCACCTTATAGTGGGGATTGAAAAAGGGGCTCAAAGGGTTAGGAAAGAGCATTGTTTGCCTCTGAAGGTTCTTTGGACTGCGTCCGGCGGCTACTTCAAGCTCGGGCAGACATCAATGCAGTCGCGCTCCTGGGTGAGCAAGCTGCCACGATTCCCGATTTGTTCGGTAGGTAGTTAGGATTTTGATCTTAATGTTTGGACAGCGACATTTGTAGTTTCTTTTTAGGTGGAAGAAGATGGTTGGAGCGCACTTCACTTTGCTTCCAAAGAAGGTCATGTGCAGGTGCTCAATCGTGCATGATTTGTTCAGATGAGGGTGGACATTTGGATCGGGAGCTCTTTTTTCTGGTAATCGTGAAGGTTTGCCAGTCCCTTCTGGAAAGCAAAGCAGATCCAGAGCCGCAAGCTGAACTTGGTTCAATAGCACGGACGTCAAGTTCGTGCAGGTTTTGATTAGCCCGTCCTTCAGGCTGAGAAACATTGATGACAAGACTCCAATGGATGTGGCAGACGAGGCCCTTTCCGTGTGCTGCTGCTGCTGCTGCTGGTGCTGGTGCTGCCGCTGCTGCTGCTGCTGCTGCTGCTGCTGGTGCTGGGTTTATGGTGTGTTGTTGTTGTTGCTGCTGCTGCTGCTGCTGCTGGCGCTAACCTGTGAGGGAGAAGCAGAGCTGAATATGTACTTTTTGCATTAGATTGTAATTAGAGGACCTCAGCTGTGAATGCCAGGATTCTTCCTTCAAAAAGACCTTTCTGGATATGACTTCCCAGAGGAACAAAGCTGCCACCTCAGTTTTATTGAAGTTTTGCTGGAACTTTGGTTTGGTGTTTAGAATCACCCTTTTCTGTTGAAACTGGCACACTGAGGATAAACCTTGACGGACATGATGACTGCTCTTTGAAAGGCTTCCTTCATTTTGCAGAATTTAGACACTCAGTGCATGAATGAAGTCCCTTTAAAGGCACGTCCAACCGTGCAGAAGATGTTTTGTTTAAAGTCTAGACATTGTAGACATGATCCGATGCAATGACCAATCATGGGTGGTCCAAACGCTAAGCCCATTGAGGGGTCTGATTGGAAGTGTTTGCTTCGATGGATGTTCAACAAACCAGTTCATGGTTGCTCAAATCAGGGTTTGGAGCACTTTAACAGCAGTATGCTTTAGGCCAAGAGATTTCGATTTCTCACAGGCTCAATCCTCCAGGCGTCCGATTCCCCCCCTCTCTCTCTCTGCCTCCCCTGGAGATGTGGAGGTTGGCTGCATCCTCACCCTCCATTCATCCTCGATCCATCCTGCTCCCTACTTCATCCTGATACATTGTTACATCCTTTCTTATCGAATCTATGCTCTACTAGTACCGCTGCTGCTACGACTGTGATGACGATTACAACTAGGTCCACGGCTACTGGCTACTGCTAGCAAATGTGGGAATTGAAGCAACAGATGAACAAAGTAGCTTCTTTGTTCCTAGTAGCGATGCCAGGAGCCCCTACTAGCGTCCTTGCTCCTAGCAGAAAGGCCAGGAGCCCCTAGTAGCTTCTTGTTACTAGGTTAAAAGATCAGCTCAACAACTCTTCGCGTCGATACGAATTTCGGTAACACATTCACCTGTAAAGAGAAGAGAAGCCACGAGAAGAGAAGTCACTTGTTTTGCTAGTCGAGATTTTTGAAGCACTTGGAAGCTGCAGTGCTTTCCATCTGCGGATGAGCATTGTTGGTGTAGACAGGCATAGGTATCAAAAAAAAGTAAAAAGAGCATCAAACAAATTTTTAAAAACAGGATCAAAAAAAGAATAAAAAGCGAATCAAAAAAACATATTCCTGGATAGGCCTCTTCTGCTGCTCTCCTGGCCTTGTGGTTTGCGGGTCCTCTGGTAATGTGGTCCCTTGGTCCCTTGGTCCTCTGGTCCACTGGTCCTTTGGTCCCCTGGTCCCTTGGTCCTTTAGTCCACTGGTCCCCTAGTCCTCCGGTCTCCTGGTCCTCTGGTCCTGTGGTCCGCTGGTCCCCTGGTATCCTAGTCCTTCTGTCTCCTGGTCCGCTGGTCTTTTGCTCTCCTACGCCGCTCGTCTGTCGATGTCCTGGTCCCCTGCTTGTGCAAATAGAGGCTTGATTGCTTTCTACTTGAGGCAGCTCCCTGGGAAGAAAGTAGGTACTACTGCTACTGCTACCACTACTACTACTACTACTCCTACTACTACTCCTCCTGCTGCTGCTGCTGCTGCTACTGCTACTGCTACGCTGGTGCTGCTGCTGCTGCTACTGCTACTGCTACTACTACTACTACTACTACCCCAACCATCCTCAGTGGGCTAGAATATTATTTTTTTGATTACCTTTTTATTTTTTTTGATCCCCGTTGAATATTTTTTTTGATTCTATTTTTATTTTTACTTTGATCCCTTACCCGTGTAGACAGCCTTCAAGTATTCAATTGCACATGCCAAGGTTTCAACAGAAAAGTGTTTTGCCACTCACACTGCGCCAGGATTAGACAGGTCTTGTGACCAGTTCCTCCAGAACCGACCTTCATGGATTTGGCTTCTGAGAGGTGTGGCTTTAGTCGCTGCCAATGTTCGGGCAGAATGCTGTCCGCACAGTCCTAGCAATCCGACTTGTGAAACGCACAAGAAGGGTTCAAAAATGTTCAAAAGAGATTGAAGAATCGAAGACCTTGTCGCCCTGCGTAATAGCTGGGTTGAGTTTGGCTCAGGAACATCCATGTCTTCGACTTGAGGATATTCTTTTCCTGTTTGAAGAGGATGGAACAATTGCATTTGGGCTTCACCACCCCATCAGGAAAGCTGACAAGGTGTTTTGTTGCAACAGCTGGCCCTGCCTGTGATTCTTGCCACCGACTCGTCTAGTAGCTTTATCTTGTGGGGCTCAAGACTCAAGAAAATCAAATGGATCCATACGGAGTTTTCCCAAAAGATTGCTTGAATAGACTTAAAAGAACTCTGCACCTTTGTTTTGTGGGACTGCTTCAGACTAGAAGTATAGTGGAATCCCAAGCAGATGTAGCACAGCGCTTTCCATGGAGAGGCAAGTCGCTTTGTTACTTGCCCTGTGCGCGATGTTTCTTTGGGGCTCTTGGGCCAACACATTGCTTCTCTTTCGAACTCGCTTTGAACTTTACCTTTTCAACTACATTTTGGGACACTTCCTTGCCGGCTTCCTTATGCTTCAGGATGCTTTACCATGTTTGCATGCTGTTACTGGGACAACAGGTATGATTGTCATTCTTGTCAGTGGTCTAGCAGGCGCCTTGTTTGCCCTTGGATCCCTCCTGGCAGTTGCCTCTCTAGACCTGGTTGGCATGGCTTTGCCAACTCTTGTACTGTTGAGCATCGAGATGGCTCTCGGCATGCCTTTGCTTTTGCTCCTGGAAGGTTGGGATACACCAGCTCAACTTATGTATTCAATCTTGGGAATTTTAGCAGTGCTTGTAGCTGCCACATTAGATGCCTGGTGCCATTCGTCCCTACAAGAAGATCGTGCGAGTAGAGAGAGGGAGGAGGTTGGCCAGTGTTTGGATTTGTCCGGCCAATTTAGCAGCTTGAGCTTTTGGTCCTTCCGGGCGACATCTGCAGCTGCATCAATGATGCCAGGAAGTTTGGCCAGAAGTTTGTCCCCTGAAGCCACGACTCGTCTCACATTCCTGACACATGGCTCCGTCCTTCCGAGCTCTATTAGTGGATCACAACAGGTCCTTACGGTGCACAGCGGCACCGTCCTCAGTGGACGGCGTTTCAAGCATGCACAGCTTGGCCTTGTTTTGGCTGCAGGTGGTGGATTCTGCTTTGCTGGGTGGCCATGTGTGGCTTCAATCGTGGAAGGACAGAGTCGTTGGGTGATTTTCTCTGTGCAGTTGAATGCTTCAGCTTTTTTCTTTATCTACGCATTTGGAGCTGTGATCGCCGTGATCCTCCTTTTGCCACCACTTTGCCGTCGCCCACTTCACACTGGGGTTCCCTTGAATTTCTGGAGAAGTTATTCGGAGCTGACTATTTGGCAACACTTTTTGGGCTTGTGTGGTGGATTTGCCCATGGCCTTGGATGTTTGTTGTCCGTACAAAGCGGACATGTCTTAGGAAATGCCATGGCCATGTCCATCACGCGCTGTCAGCCCTTGGTCTGTGCAATTTGGGGAGTTCTTGTTTGGGGAGAGCTCCAAGGTGCTCGCTGCAAGACCATTCTGATCCTTCTGGCCATGCTATTGATGTTTGTTTTGGCCTTGATTTGCTTCTTCCTTTCTTTCCTTTTTGCCGGCCAGAATCAAGCATGATGAAACCACTGCAGGGTTTGGTCCAGTGCATTATTGCCTGTGCTGCAAAGTCAGCATCTAGGTTATAAAAAGGCAAGCTCATTTTCAGTTTTGACTCGGCGATGGGCTGCAGCTAATTGTCAACAAATATCACCACCAATCAACAGACCATGCTCTCGCTTTGCTGACATTCTCATCGTGTAGATGCAAACAGGCAGCAAACATGATAAACATGGTTTTGGTTTGGTTCCACATTATTCAAGGAATGGAGCATTGTGCACACGAGAAACGTTTTCTTTAAAGCTTGTTGCATTGGTCATAGCAATCGTAGAAACCTTTCCACCATTTTGACCCGGTGCTCGCATTGCCTTGCCCAAAGGTCAGGTATGGCTTGGGGTTCATTTTCCAGATAGCAACCGATCCAACCGATGTAACTTTTTGGATGTACCAGAGACAGTGATTGTTTTCTCGTTCTCCAACCCTTGGAATGTAGGTTAGCTGTGTTGCTACGAGGAACATGACTCAACATGACCATACATGACCTAGATCCATGACAACAATGGTAACAGCAATGAAGCCTTGTAACAATGTAGAGTTTGAATGACCCTGCTCTCTTCATGCGGAAATAGTAGTATTCGCTCTTCTGGATCCGATGTTGTGTGGATGCTCTTACCAATCCTTGACAACCTTGGTCTCCTCTTGCGAACAGTTGTCAACGCAACTGATCCCTTTGTTTTTTTCCTGCATCTCTTTCCTTATACGTTATATATTTCCTCTATTTTTTCTCTAATCGCCCTCTTGAGCCTCCTTGTGGCTGCAACATGCTGCAACCATTTCTGCTCTAGCTTGACCAGCAGACTGCGGAGTGGCCATGCGCCCAACTCGCGCAAAATTTCAGAGAAATGGATTTGAGTCACAATAACGCCAAGTCAACAACGCAGTGCGCTTGATCCTTTTGATCCTTACCAAACCCAGGTGAACAAAGGTGACATGCTGGCTACAATCCCGTGTGGGCCTCAGCTACCCCGTTCGGTTGTCGAAGCAGTATTGTGAGTAAGAGGCATCCTTTTCTGCTACGCTAAGGTTGCGCGCTGTCGTCGCAGCGTCTCGCGCTGTCCTACCAACGCCACAATTAAAGAGACAGGCAAAGGGAGTGGCTTGTCCTCACAGAGTAGGCACTCGCATTTCCGAGCTGTGAGGCCGATGTGTTTGCCGACCGATCGATGACAACTCTAAGCTTGCGGACAGAGCTTTTGCCCTTGCCAAAGCCTTTGAAGAAGGTGCTGTAAAGTAGCAAAATGATGCAAAAGAGAGTTGAACATATCACTTCACCTTTTTCAACGTTGCGCGTTCTGCATAGTCGACGCTGAGGCCTCAGCATCCGTTCATCCGAAACCGAAATGCTGCCTGCAGCAGTACATGCCATTGCTCCAGGTATCGCACTCAGCTTAAAGGGAATCTTTGCTTTTGTAGGAATGTGCTTGAAGCAGACTGGAGCAAGGAATCTTTCATGGGCCAAGCCAGCTTTAGGCTTAAGGGAACCAGAGGGTAAAGCACAGGCAAGAGGCTTCAGGAATTTTGGCTCAGCTACGGTTGCAATGGCAGGGATTGGATCAGAAGAGACTGAGGAGTGTGATGAGCGAGAGCAATGCGACCATGTGCAATGCAGGTTGCTGGGCAATCTTCGAAATGAGTTGGACCTTGAGGCTCAACCAGAGATGGCAGCAGAGCTGCCAGATACCCCACAGCCAAGTTCGCAGCCGGGGCGGGCTTCCAACATAGGACTCATATCCATGGCTGTAACAGCTATGGCTGCTGTGTTTGCCACGCTCTTTCTCATCGTTTGGACCGTTTGGAATGATGAACAGGATGAACAGGCTGGCCCTAGTCACTTGCGGATGCTGGCCGCTGTAGGGGGAGGAAGTGCAATTGGATCCTGCTGGTTGAAGTGCGGAGCTGCTGTGGGCAAAGGAATCCACACTGCTGGCACCTTCATTGGACGGTTCTTCATCAGCGCAGGGCAGTGCATTCATTCGATATTTTCTTCGGTGAACCAAGGATTTGGGGATTGCTGTTCAACAGTGGGCCATCAGTTAGAGAAATGCCACTGTTCACATTGCTGGATGGCCTCTGGAAAATGCATCGGAGGATGTTGCACTGCGTTCGGCAATTTGATCAATGGTATTTTTGTGATCTTCGGGTCGACCATTTCCAGCTGCTGCGATGTGTTTGCAAACTTCTTCAGCAGTTCCTGGAACAGCTGTGGATATTTCTTAAATGACATATGCCCCTTTTGAGAAGATGTTTTTTTTGTTGCCAGCACCAGTTCTGGCGGCAAATTTGACGTGGCCTCAAACCTGGGCTACAGTTACAGTTGAATTCTCAAAGCATGGCTTTGCTTCAAAGTGAATGGCTGACAGTGAGACGTGCTGGCTGTAACGTTTGGTTGCTGTACGGAATTGTTCAGATTCAGTTTGTGGGCTGGACTACATGTGTTTTGAATTCATTTCAGGATGTAAAGGTATCTGAAGGTTTTTGCGTGGTCGAGTTTCTTGCTGAAATCAAGCCTTTGCACACTGAGGTCGAAGAGCCACTTGGATTAATTCTCGTTCATGGCTAGAGAATGCCAAACACGAACATTGTTGGTGGATGCAGGCTCGTACAGCAAGAAAGACTTGTTTTGCAGGGCCGCAGGCACATGCGTGTTGTAGCGAATTAAAAACATGTTTTGTGCTCTTGAAATGCCTCCATCAGCAAAGAACATCGCGACGTGGATATGCGATGATTAAGGTGATCTCTATGAACTCTCGGGATGCAGAGGAAGCTACATTCCTGTTACTGCTGTGCGCAACCAAGCGGTAAGGGTGGCACCCAAACATCCTCACAATGTTTGGTGCCTCACAAAGAGTAAAGCGGATTCGTTGTGCCAGGCCTTTGTACTTGAATTGTCTAGTGTCAGGGAATCGTTTCGCTTGTTGGAGCTTGTTGCCACTAGGTTTCTTATTACGTCGTTTCGCGGCGATAAGCACCTGCACCAGTCAGTTGTTCTGAGAGACAGCTCAAGGAAAACAAGCACTAATCAATGTCCAAGCCAACCCCCCACATGATTCGTAAAAGAATGATCAGGACTCTAGATGTGGTCGATCATGCACAGTTTACAGCTTTAAGTCTACATCATTTGTGTCTTATATAAGACCCACTTGAAATTGTGCATTTCTAAGGGGCTGCAACTTATTACGAAAGCCAGCCAAAGGCTAGGCTGAAGGTCTGTTTTGCGAACGAAGTGAGTGCTAGGGGGTGTGGGGATGGGGTGGTTGTGTGGTGGGCATTTTGGGAAGGGTGAGCCCAGAGCCTGCTTGAGGAGAGCAAAGACCTTGCATGCGCAAAACATACAGTCTCCTACGACTGCCTTGCCAACTTGGTGACGCGAGTGATGCCACAACAGCTCAAGTTTAGACTACAGTATCTTTTTTTGCATCATCAACTGGACATGGTGGCTGATTTCCGAGTGCAGTGGCAAACTTGTCACTTCGAGTCAAGCCACGCAGGAAGGAGAGAAAATCATCGTCAGCAGCGGTAAACAGAGCGCAAAAGGGCACCAAGCAAGAAACTTCGACTCTTTGAATCTAGATCTCAGTAAATCACTGTCTTTCCATGCCTGCATATCTGCATCGACCAAATCCCAATGCTTTGCAAGTTTGTTCCACAAATCTTGCAAAAATGCTGTTTATGCAGCTTCACCAACTTCGGCATCCCAAAACACGGTAGCTGCTGCTTGGCTTGAACTGTCGATGCAGGTGTAGATGCAGAGTTTCTTGGTTGGTGCCCTTTTGCGCTTTGCTTGAGGGCCGTCTCAGGGCAAAACAGGGCACCTCCAAAAAGCGGGCTCTGGTGATAAGACTTTGACAAGCAGGGTGCGGCAGATGCATCTTCCAGCATCGAATCTTGCGGGCACCTGGTTAAGATGAGTTGTCGATCTTCGGAAAGACACTGTGCTGTACAGAGTGCAGAGAGCCGAAGAAAACCCCCAAGCTGGCCCCCCACACAGGTTCAGCCTAAGAGGTTGCACATGTCAGGGCAAAGGTAAATTTGGTAGATTCGGTAAATCGGTAAAGCCGGTAAATTCGACGCACTTGTAAACCCGACTCTGCGCATCGGAAGGAAGTTCGGTAAAGTCAATGCATCCGTGAAGTTGGTACATATATGGTCTTTAGATGTTTTTAGCCTTTTGCCGCGCTGTGGTGTCCTAGAGTGCATTAAAAACAGCAAATAGCCAGCAAAAACAACAGAGCAGCATGCGCATGTACATTTCCGATGTAGTCAAACCTGAGCCTGAATGCAAAACGCTACAAACAAGGAAACAGTCTTTTGCCAGCAAAGACCGGCCGGCCCACATACTCTTCGTTTCACATGCGCACGTGGATTTGTAAAAAACACAGCAAAAAAACACCAAAACGCATCCGCGCATCACTCAGCCCATATGCGTTCAGTTTTGCTTGACTCGGAGTCAGGGCCTGCGCATTGTTAAGCCTACATCTTGACGAAGTCTGTGCACCTTCTCGAAGAGAAGATGCGGATTTTTAGATGTTTGCCAGAGACAAACAGACTCTTGCTTGAACAGCTTTGGCTCTACCGTGGACGACTCAAGATTGGCTCGCATTGTTTTTTTCGCTGTGTGATCTGAGTCTTTTCTCACTCCATGAGTTTGGCTGCCCTTCTGAAAATCGCGAAATTTCGTTAATCTTCCGTTTTACCGTTTTACTCCTCACTTCTGTTACCTCGGAGTTATACAATTTCCGGCTTTACCCTTTTACCCCGCGCTTGTGTGTGCTCGACATTTTACCGCTGTGTTTCTTTTACCGCTTTACCGCGGGCCTTTGCAACGAAAACTCCGTAACCAGAAGACACACCGCGAGCCAGCGCAGGAAAAACCCTCGAGCCGCATTTCTGGGTTGGTGCCCTTCTGCGCTTTGTTTCACGGCGATCTCACGTCAAACAAAACATATTTGAAAACGTAGGTTCCAGTGCCAAGTTCCCCGGGCAAAGCAGGGCACCTCCGAAAAGCGGGTTCTGGCGATAAGACTTTTGACAAAGCAGGGCACGGCAGATGTATATCAGGGGGTCTGTGTGTGTGGGGGTATTGGAGACTCTGAGTCAGGCATGTTCCTCGAAGCGTCTGCGAGGGCTGGCTTTGGCCTCCTCACTTTGCAGTTATTCAATAATGCCTGCAACCTGCCCTTTGTTATTCTTTGCTTTCGCCCACTGCATTGCGCCGTATTGTGGTGTGTACACTTGTGCCGTGTCGTACTCAATATGAAGGGGCTAGGGGCTATTTCAACCCACTTGATATTGTAAAGTTTTCACGGGGGCAAACTTTTTCCAATGCCTGCAACATGTGGCATATTTAACATTTTCATCCAGTGCACGCTACCGTTCATCTTTAGGCCTTTCGTAGATCATGCTCATTGCGTAGTTTTTTTTGCAATCGTTCTATTTTTTCGATCTCCCTAGAATGGAAACCCAACTTATATATCCAACAATGCCTGTCCATTTTGAAGTTGTTTCTTATATGTACTTCTGCATTGTAAGTTCATCTCTAGGTCTTATGTCGATTATGCATCGTGTTGTACTGTATGTCTCATTATTGCATCATTTGCGTCGCCAGATCCTTAAATGTTTGCATATTTTATCCCACCACCACTTCTCGAGATGACCTCATGATGCCGGATATGCAATTCGATTTCAAACGAAAAATAAATATCGCTAAAATATGCTAAAATTATAGGAGCGGTGTGAGTGCGCCCAACACAAGAACGCCCCTCAGCACCTTCGGCGCGGGCGGATTTGAACAGTTGCCTTGCCTTTCTCATTCAGACTGTGCGGACGGAGCGCACAGCGGACAACCAAAAAGCTGGCTTAGGCCGGGTCCTTACCTATGACGAGAAGCCTGTGGAACAGAGTGGCAAATGGAAGATTGCCACTTGGCAGCGCGTGGCCACACCATCGACCAAACATCCATACCACTGGCGTTGCTCCTTTCAGAGTTTTCCATAGCAGCTTTTCTCCGAGGTCAGAGCCCGACTTCAACCCGCTGTTGTGAAGTGGTGCATGTTTAGGCTGCTGGCCTTCAATCCTAGCGAATTCGGCATTCGGCATGCAGCTCATGCTGCTGTTCAAGATGCACTACATATGGCCAGATTGGTCAGGCTCATTTTTGATCGGATAGATTCGGTCGTTGGCCGGTGGCTTTGAGTTCTCGGAATACAGAGACTCGAGAGCCTCCATTTTACGATTCTCGTACCCTTGCCAAACGCCAAGGGTTTTGCACAGGGCAGAGACGCAGAGAAGAGACTCGTAGAGACTTTAGTGCGCTAAATCTCACTTGCTGGCAGGAGTGAACCCCAGCATCTATGTGCACTGTGCACTCAACCTCAAGTTTTACAATATTTAATCAATTTATCAACATTTGCTTTGTTCAGGTTTCTTCGATCACATGGCACATGATGTACTTTGGGGCGCTTCATTTCTCGCGGACAGAGCCCCGCAGGTCTGCAGATCTCTGCGCGGATGGTACAGCCGGTGTGCGTGCGACTGTAAAGCCGGAAATGCACTGTATAGCGCGAAGGTTTTAGATAAAAAGATTTGTGGTGCCATTGCTATTAGGTTGGAGGCCATTGTTAGTAGGCTTCAACCTTGAGCCTCCTGTGGTGCTTGTACTGTTGGCTTCTGTAGAAACATAGGGTGAAGTTTGATGCTTGGCCGCGTATTTCGGCCCACAGCTCTCGCGCCTGGGTGGATGGGGCTTTGCAACAAGTGTCGCCAAGCCCCGTCTTTGGGTACGGACTCTTGGTGCGTTGGTTGCTCAGCGCAAGAGAACGTGTACGAGGAGCTTCGTTCGCGCTGGGGGTCGAGTGATCTCCGTAGAGCGGCCAACGACTTGTTGGTGGACGCCGCAAGGCAAGTGAAGGTGCTAAGGGCTCTCTCATTGAGGTTGCAGCCTATCGTCCCTCCTGGCTTGGAGGCAGGGCGAAAAGAAGGAGCGCCGGCGAGAGGTGCAACTGCTAAGGCGCTGGCGCTTCCGGCCAAGCAGCCTGTGGAGAACGAGAAGGTCGCAGAACCTGAGCCTGAAGGTTCCTACTCGCATACGTATTCGGAGTGTGAGGAAGAGGACGCTATCGAGGAGGAGCTTACACCTTCACGAAAGCCCCCACCAAGGACACCGCCGATTCCGCCGCCAGTGGTAAAGAAGGAGGAAGAGGTTGAGAGTCCAGAGAGAAAGAAGAGAGATCGAGAAGAGAAGAAATCAAAGGCTGCGAGTTCCCATAAGAAGAAAAAGGAGAGAGTCAAGAGTGACAGGGATAGACATCGTGGACGACGAGGAGGCCGTAAACACCAGCAGGTTCATCGTCGCAAGTCGGACCCAGG